TATGGATGTGTTGACGAGCGTGAGTATAAGAGGGAGTAGTATAAGCTTATAGCATACAAAGTGCTTTTTCTTTTTCTGTCCCGCAGTTCCTCGCCAAAAAGCCTAATAATCGCTTAGGCGCTGGGCGCTATGCGCGCTCTGAGATTACAACACATCCCTTCTTCAGGAATATTGATTGGGACAAGGCCGAGGCAAAGGAGTTGGAGCCGCCAATTGTACCGAAAATTGTAAGAATTCTTTGGTTGAAGCTTGACTTATGAAAAGTCAATTTCTTTGTCTGATTTCAGAAACATCGCAAGGATATCTCAAACTTTGATAAAGCTTTTGTCGTTGAGAAAACTGATCTAACACCAACTGACAAGCTATTCATGATGAATTTAGATCAGAATGATTTCATTGGCTTCTCCTATATGAATCCGGAGTTTATTACTATTATATAAAGTGCATTGCAAGAGATTAAAAAGCGAAGCAGGAAAATTAAATGGCAACAAAATGCCAAATTAACTCATATATTGAAATTATAATAAGAAATAACAATAAATATATAATCCTCAATTCTTGTCTCTATTTTAGTTGTTTAGCTGCAAAAACACAGTTCTAGTCTCTTTCCTTTAGTAATATAAAGAAGAAAGGAAATCGCTCGCTAGAGCCCCCATGGGAAAGGAAGTCGGCGAGGGGGAACTGAGAAGCATAGAGTCTACGATCTAACAAAAGCACAGAGAGCAAACGACCCAGGTGCTTTGCGGAACTCGACCAAAGTCATTTAGACGTACAACGTCAAATTAGAAGAAGAAGAAGAAGAAGGAGTAAGGTTTAATCTTTATACAAAGTGGAGTTAGTCATCGTCCATCGGCAAGGAGCCGTGGCAATTCCAACAGATCAAGTAAGCAAGCGTGCAGCATGGGTGCGCAGATTTTGAGGCCAGGTCGGGCGCAATTCGTCAGCAAATGGTGTGTAGAAAGCAACTCAAAATGCTGTGACAGTATTGTAGAGAAGTATGCCCGAGACGAGCTTAAGAGATAACGTTCGACTGAGGGTACGGAGCCGGCCACCCAGACATAATAATAACCATAGTCCTCCGTCGTCGCTGGACAAGAGTAAGGCCATGGCAATAAACTATCAATTTTAATACCGTCGAAGTCGAGAAGCAGCAGAGGGACCCTGGGACTCTGCAAATCTATGCGCGGTATTGACGAAAGGCCGTGACAGAAGATAACGATAATGGACAGATGAGCGAGGTGTATGCCGAAGGTCTATAGAAAGGAACTACTGTGAGCGCTGTGATTAGGTGAATGTTCGAAAGGCCGGGAAAACCAATTCATTATTTGGAAGGCGCAGGCTGATTTAACGGGGTAAAATTCGTTAAACGCAGTAATACAAAAAGAGTGATTTCCATGATAGATAATGTGTGCCTAGAGGTGCCGGACAAAGCTCCTATGATACTATGTGAGTTGAAGTCGGAGGACGCTTTGAGTTTAGTAAGGAATTTTGTAGTCTATATGGAAGCAATAGAAAGTTTAGCTATGACCACACAATACACAATACACAAAATTGTTCAATGCTACGAAAGCGCAGACGAACTAACCAAAGGTAGCATCCTCCAACATGACATCTCACTAGCGATGGGCCTACCAATTGTTCTACAAGGCAATCAAAGCTGAAAATCATTTGCTACTATCACGCCCGGCAGTCAGAGTGTAGGAACGCATGCCGAGTTGCTGGGTAGCAAAGGCAACGAGTAAGCAGGCAAAGACATGCATTGCATAGTGCTGCCCAGCTAAAAGGCCTACAATCTGCAAGTGTCAAAGAACAGAGTGGCAACTATATTTCGTTAAATGGACGACAGTGCCTTTTGTCATGGCCTTGGGCTTATGAACAATAAATCCTGGATCGCAAATGTATGTATTCTTCAACAAAAATCGTTTAAATATCTGGCAATCGATTATGTAAGCTTTCCACCGCATTTAAAGTCGTGCACCACAGAACCTTTTAAAAGCTCTAATGGGTTGGCGTCACTGGCAAACAGGGGGGCAAAAAAACTTTCGTGGATATCTGTATGAAATGTAAAACAAAAGCTTAAACAAGTTCTACGCGCACTTTATGAAGTGGCCAGCTATCCTTCAAAGCACATTGCGCGTTAAGTTTATTAGTTTTAAGCTTACGCTTAACGAAAATGCTGTCTAAGCTTTTGATTTGATTCATATTACTCACAAGAGCTTTTTAAACTAATATTTCGTAAGCTTAGAAAGCTCTTCTAAACTAGTTGAAAGCTTTTATTTTAAGTTTTGCTGACTATGGTTGCTGAAGCTAACGAAAGCACATTATTTTTCATGCTTCAAGCTGAGTTGCATAGGTTAAATAAAAGAGTCAGCCACGCGAAAAGTACGCAAAACCGATGTAACCCATTTAGCGAGGCAGTACCTACTTGACTTGATATGTTTGTACATACAGTATTGGCCAATACAATAGCACCCCCATTTCAAAGTGATATTGTTTGCTACTCATGTTTATTTATTTATTTTCAAGAATTTTCAATTAAAATACAGTTCATTCTCTCACAAAACTCACATAAACTCAAGTTTAAAACTTTTTAAAAGACCGCAAAAAAGTGCAACAAATTTTCAACCAAATTTCAAACTTTTTTCTCAGAAGCGGTAGAATTTTTTTGAATACACAGTTGTATAGCCCATTCAATTTTAGTCTAATAATGTGCAAGGTTCAAGTGGCTAAAAATTACAGTTAATTTTTTAGAATTTTTTTCGCAGAAGATGTTGCGGGTTTCTGCCATATAAAAATAAATTGTGTTTAGTCGTTATATGGAAGCAAATGAGACAAAAAAAATCTAAAAATTCTAAAAAATCAACGGTAATCTTTAGCGACTTGAAACTTGCACATTATTGGACAAAATTGAATGCGCTATAAAACTGTGTACTCAAAAAAATTCTAGAGCTTCTGAGAAAAAAGTTTGAAATTTAAGGGAAAGTTTGTTGCACTTTTTTGCGGTCTTTTAAAAAGTTTAAAACATTGGTTTATACGGGTTTTGTTGGAAAATGAACTGTATTTTAATTGAAAATTCTTAAAAACAAATAATTAAACATAAGTGGCAAACAATATCGCTTTGAAAGGGGGGTGCTATAGATATGTCCAATACTGTATGTATGAAAATGTAATATCGCTAACTTAGAGTGAAATGTTGCTAAGTCCACTTTTTATCAACAATTATTTTTTGATGCAGGAAGCAAGGAAAATTGAAAATGCGCCGTTTCTGAAAGGATCTAACTACTTGTTTTATTTCTAACCGTTTTATTCCGTGATGTGCAAAATTACTAAGTCCAAAGTAGTCACAGAAAATTTGATAAGTCCAAAAAATATGAATATTTTTTTTACCCTATCGAATTCGATTTGTATTAAGGGTTTTGCAGCAACATTATTTTTGAATATTTATGTACATATGTATGTATGTATATTAGGCTGGGTCGATTTTGTATGGGGGAAAATAAAAGGCATTTGGCCATATTGTAATAGTAATATTATGATGTCTTAGGTCTGAGCCAATTGTTATTGGGCAAGAAAGATTAATTTAAAACTTATCTTTAGCCCGCGCAATTGATTCGAAGTGTATGAATTTTGAAAATGAAACTTTGGCTTGTAATATCTATGAATGCGTTAATTGTTATAAACAGGACGATATATCAAATTAAGGGTTATTAAATTTAGTACCTAACGTTCATTTATCATTTTTCAATAAGTCTACCCATTTTTAAGATATTAAAATAAAAGATAAGAAAACTATAATTTTCCCCTATGAATTTTCAATTCTTCATTTCTTCAGCAACCAAGTGAAAAATACAAAAAGGCGAGACGAGATTTATTTCAAACGTTTTAATGCTTTCGGATGTTTATATAATATTAAAATTACCTTGGACTTGGTCACGCCGATTTGGTCAGTTTTCAAGATCGTGGTGAATGAAGTCAAACATGTATTGTCAAAGATTAGAAATCGTTCGATAAGTTAATAGTAGTTGCAAACATAAATATAAGTATTTGCATACATTAACATAATACAATTAGGGCGAGAAACGCCCATTTTAAGTCCATTTTCGTGGTTTCTAAATTTGCCGTTATATGAAAGTAGGGGGCGTGCAACAAGTGTTTACATAAATATTTTAGTTAATTCCATTATGTGAAAAGTAACTGTAGGTAGATAAATGCAATAGTCTTTAACACATTCTGGAAAATCCGTTTGAGGTCTCTCCAATTAGATTTGAGGTATTTAAAAGCAACTTTGCCTAAAGACCATCATAATTTTTACGATAGTTTGCCACATGAATGATTTTTGGTGGGTATTTTAGTTTCAGCGAACAATACTATTAATTTAATCTACCATTAATTGTTTTTTCATTATTATTTTAATGTATACGTTGTTGTTTATAATAAACAAGTTTGCAACTACGTTTCAAATTAAAAATATGTATAAAAAGATTCGCAACCTTCTTTTTCAGAAAATTTATTTCGTCTGAACTGAAAATCCCATTAATGGGATCGTAAAAGAACGGCCGCTGTGGTGTAGTGGTAATCAGTGCGCGCTTCCACTGCGCAGAGCCTGGGTTCAAGCCCTGGTAAAAGCAACATTACAAACAAATTTAGAAGAGAAGGTTTAACCTTAACAGCGGTCGCCCCTCGACAGGCAATGGCAAACCTCCGAGTGTATTTCTGCCATGAAAAACAGCGTAAAACTGTAAGTCCCTTCCCTTTGTGTAACAACATCAAGGCGCACGCCACAAATCGGAGGAGAAGCTCGGCCAAACACTAACATATGTATAAGCGCCAATCTATTACACAAGGGGACACAAATGGGAAACAATTTCGTTGCATCAAATGTTAAAGCTGTTTTGGACTTTTTTATGCTGATTACGAATCCGTAAGTATAAAGTCTCCATCAGCTATAGATTTGGAAGAAAAACGAGGTCAAAGTGTCAAAAAATCACGTTTTTTGCAATATTTTAGAACCCATACCAAAGTAAGTAAAGGATTAAATTAAAACTAGAAGTCTCGACTACTATCCCTGAAAATACCATCCCTGTACCTTGAATTGATGGTCACTTATAGTAATCAGCATAAGAAAGTCTATCAAAAACAGATTTAACATTTAATGCAAAAAAATCACTGTTCCCTTGTGTTATTATTATTGGAAAATTTGCTAAGTCAAACAAAAAAAAATTTAAGAAAAAAGTAGAAAAGTCATAAAATTATCTACAAAATTTGTAAAAAAGCAGACTTTTTTATTATTTGTTTTTTTAATAAAGGGTAAATGAAAAACGCGAAACATTGCATTCAAAGTTTTGTAAAATACTTAAAGAAAATTACTTAGGAACGTTTTTTGTGTCTTCTGTACAATTGAAAAAAATGGACTTAGCAACTTTGCACTCTAAGC